TGGCAGTTTACGACCCGTTATGTGGCTCTAGGCTTGAACTGTATACCCTCGTTTTGTCAACTCTCTCACGCCTTTCGTGCTCGGCTCAGTCTGTGTGTTTATTTTTGTTCCGATGCAACCCGTCCCCACAAACGGCATTTTGCTTGACACGGGGGGCTCTGCACAATGAGGTCGATGCACGTGTCAAGGCGTGCGCTCGTGGAACGATCGAGGCATTATTTCTAGTCTGAGCTCTCCACGTTTCTCTTCAGCCTGGCCTCGTCTCGCCCGCTCGTTCGCCTAGTTTTTGTTGCTCCGCCGTTGGTAGCTGTCCCCGCCGTGTGGCCGATGCAGGCGGGCGCAAGCCCAAGTGGGGTCAGACTGCAGGCTGGGGACCGGCCACCTTGCACTCACGGACAACAAATTGCGCAAGCATGTTGCCAGGGGCCTTCGAAACGATGTGCTGGGCACTTCTGTGGAACCCCAATCAGACCCAGAGTTCCTTCGATGACGCCATTCGGTCCTTCCCAATCAGCTTGTGGTGTCGGGCACTCGTTTTGAAGCAGCAGCGCCCCGCGTCCCTTCCTGGTCCTCCCTCTTGCCTCTGCCCTGGCACACCCCACCCTTTTCAGGCCTCGCAGGAACTCCACGGTGGGCCAAAATGAAAAAAAGTCCGCATGCAGTGGTGGGCTCATCTCGCTCGCCCGTGCAGCGCTCTTCAAGCCCCACAGGTGCTCCACAGATGGCCGACATGACACAACATCTGCATGCAGTCGTAGGCTCATTTCGCTAGCTCCTACCACGCCTTTCAAGCCCTGTTCGAGCTCCACAAAAAAGTTATAACATCACGACAAACGCATGCAGTCGTGGGCTCACGTCGATCGCCCCTGCCACACGCAGGCCCCATAGGAGCTCCACAGAAGGCGAAGTGAAGATCTCCGCATGCAGTCGTGGGCGCATTCCGCTCGTCCCTGCCACGCTTTTCAAGCACTACAGGAACTCCACAGGCAGCCCAAATGAAGCAAGTCGGCATGCAGTCGTGGGCTCATTTCGTTCGCCCCTGCCACGCTTTCCAAGCCCCACAGGTGCTCCAAAGGTTGAAATGAACAAGTCCACATGCAGTCGTGGGAAGATTAACAAATCCGCATGCAGTCGTGGGTTCATTTCGTTCGCCCCTGCCACGTTCTTACAGCCTCACAGGGGCTCCACCGAAGTTCAAACCGAAAAGAACCGTGTGCAGTCGTAGGCTGAGTTCACTAGTTTCGCTCGCCTTCTCCGCGCTCATCTCCCTGGCCTCTGGCACGTTTTTCAGGCTCCACGGGGAGCTCCACAGAAGGTCCAAATCGCAAAGTTCGTGTGCCTCCTGACCACGCCCATTCCGATCGCCCCAGGCACGCTTTTCGGGAGGAGGAGGAGGAGGAGGAGGAGGAGGAGGAGGAGGAGGAGGAGGAGGAGGAGGAGGAGGAGGAGGAGAGGGGAGGAGGAGGAGAGGAGGAGGAGGAGGAGGGGGGGCATCTTGGGAGTCTCTGGGGACACTCTTGGGGCCTCCTGGGAGCTTCCTGGGAGCCTCTTGGGGGCATCTCGGGAGGCTCCGTGGCCCTCGCACTTGCGAGCTGTCGGGGTCGCTGCGGCGACAGCTGCGCGGCGGCCGCGCCTCGACGCGTCGTGTCCCCACAGGGAAGTCGGGCCTGTCCTTCTACAGGAGGAATATTCAAAAATACGAACAAATAGTCTGGGGACAATGTTTTAAAACTGTTTTTGAGTATGTTTTGAATCTTTTCGGAGTGCTCTCTGTTTTTCCTCCAAACTCTGCCTGTAGGGGGACGTGCCCGACCTAACCATAGAGGGGTCCCCCTCCTTCGGCCCACCTGCCTTGCGGTACTCACGGCTACATATGTTTGGGCCCTTCCCAAGGCCGACCTCAACCAGCGGTTGTCCATCGATCTGGGCATTCGGAGGCCGCTTTTGGGCCCCATGGCTATGAAAAGCAGATCGGGACCGAGATTTGCCCGCTGGAGAAGGGGCCGGGACATCTGGGGCCGCGGATTGAATAATTCATTCCGGCGGATTTCAGGGAAGATGGGGGTAGGGAAAGGGGGGTGTCAAGATGCTGAAAGGAGTGCCATCTTGAGCTCAGGAAGGTCTCTGGTTTGGGGGGTCGTTCCTCGGATCCAGGCCATAAAACTCAGGAGGAAGAAGAACACACAGGCACAATTCATCGTCGACCCCCAGGGGAATGTGGGAGAATATGGGAAATGCAGGGGAAGACGAAACCCCCGGAAATATCGAAAAATATGGAGGATCCTGGGATTTGTGTCTGTTTAGTTGTGTGTCCCAGGGCCCCGTTAGGGAAGTGGGGTCAAGATGCTGAAACGAGTGCCATCTTGGGCTCAGGAAGGTCTCTGGTTTGGGGGGCCTTTCCTTGGATCCAGGTCATAAAACGGTTCGTGCCCGAGGCTCACCGTTGCCAGGAGAGCCTCTTCGTTCATTGTTCTGTGCTGTGTATGGTAGCACGAGCAGGGCTCGTTTCGATTCCTCCGATTCAATTCAACTTGATTTCGATGGCTTCCGATTCCGATTCGACGTCGGATTCGGATTTGGGCTCAGAGTTTTCAATCGAGGCCTACTAGTCTGCCGATTTCCGCCGATTAGATGTTTCCAGACTCCGCTGACGATTTCCGCCGATCCGATTCATTTCGATCGCCGATCCGACTTATCGATTCGATTCTGGGCTCTCCTGCACGAGGACCGTAAACGCAGGCTCGTTTGCCATATTGCAGCCTGCTGGAATTCTGATGCTTGCCCCGCTCGCCGTGGGACGCCGTTGAAGAGATACGGTGGGGGCGTTGGTTAAGAAATGCGTCCAGGAGGCTGCAGACTCGGAGGATTCCTTCTTCTCTGATGAGGGCGGCGGTGATATCCATGGCCAAGCTTCGATTGGAGTTCCACCGTTATTCAGACCCTGGATTTCGAAAGTGCGCAAGTGGATCTCCCTGAATACACTAAAGGGGGGGGGTCCAGAACCCCCCCCCCCCCTTCCCCCCTTCAGGGGGGGGGGTCCGGAACCCCCCTCCCCCCCTTAAAGGGAGGGGGGGGGGTCCCGAACCACCCCCCTCCCTTGAAGGGGGGGGTGGTCCGGAAGTCCCCCCCCCCCTCCCCCTCTTGGCGCTGGAAAGGGGGGGCGGGGGTTCGGACCCCCGCCCCCCTCGTGTAGGGAGTACGGAGTTGGGAGTAGGGAGTGGTGAGTAGTGAGTAGTGAGTTTGTGCGTAGTGAGTAGTGAGTATTGGGTAGTGGGTAGTGGGTCGTGAGTGGCGAGTAGGGAGTAGGGAGTAGGGAGTGGGGGGTAGTGAGTAGTGAATAGTGAGTAGTGTTGACAAGTGAGTAGCGAGTGGCGAGTAGTGAGTAGTGAGTAGTGAGTAGCGAGTAGCGAGTAGTGAGTACTGAGTAGGGAGCAGGGAGTAATGAGTAGTGGGTAGTGAGTAGTGGGTACTGAGTAGTGGGTGGCGAGTAGTGATTAGTGAATAGTGAGTAGTGGTTAGTGCGTAGTGCGTAGTGAGTAGTGAGTAGTGAGTAGTGAGTAGTAAATAGTGAGTAGTGAGTAGCGAGTAGTGAGTAGTGAGTACTGAGTACTGAGTACTGAGTAGTACGTAGTGCGTAGTGAGTAGTGAGTAGTGATGAATAGAGAGTAATCGGTAGTGGCAGTGGGTAGTGAGTAGTGAGTAGCGAGTCGGTAGTAGCGAGTAGTGGGTAGCGAGGAGCGAGTAGGGCGTAGTGAGTAGTGAGTAGCGAGTAGACAGTAGCCAGTAGTGAGTAGTGGGTAGTGATTAGTGAGTAACGAGTAGGGAGTAGCGAGTATTGAGTAGTGAGTAGGGAGTAGGGAGTAGGGAGTACTGAGCAGTGAGTAGTAAGAAGTGGGTAGCGAATAGTGGGTAGTGACTAGCGATTGGTGAGTAGTGGGTAGTGGGTAGGGAGTAGTGACTACTAGTGAGTTGTGACTTGTGACTAGAGAGTATGTTGTGACTAGTGAGTAGGGAGTAGTAAGTAGTGAGTAGCGGGGAGTGAGTAGTGAGTACTGAGTAGCGAGTATGGGAGTAGCGAGTAGTGAGTACTGAGTACTGTGTAGTCAGTATTGTGTAGGGAGTAGGGAGTAGCGAGTAGCGAGTACTGGGTAGTGAGTAGTGATTTGTGGGCAATGAGTAGTTCGTAGTGAGTAGTGGATAGTGGGTAGTGGGTAATGAGTAGTGATTGGTGAGTAGGAGTAGGGAGTAGTGAGTAGTGCTTAGTGGGTAGTGAGTCTTGAGTAGTGGGTAGTGCGGAGTGAGTAGTGAGTAGGGAGGAGGGAGTAGTGAGTAGGGAGTAGTGAGTAGCGAATAGTGGTTGGTGGGTAGTGAGTAGTGGATAGTGAGTAGTGAGTCGTGAGTCGTGAGTAGCGAGTAGGGGGTAGTGAGAAGTGAGTAGCGCAAAGCGAGTAGTCAGTAGTGGGTAGTGAGTAATGAGTAGTGAGTGCTCCTTGGGGCTGGGGTTAGTGGTTGGGGTTAGGATTAAGGGTTTGGGTTAGGGTGAGGACCAGGGGTAGGGGTGGCGGGGGTCGGGTTCCGGAGTCAGGGGGCGGCGTGGCGAAGGGGGGGGGGGGAGGGTCGGACCCTCCCCCTTTTGAAAGGGGGGAGGGGGGGGGGGGGGTTCCCCAACGACGGATCGGGGAAAGGGGGGGAGGGGGGTGGGGGTCCCCGACGACGGAACGGGGAAGGGGGGGAGGGGGGGGTCCCCGACAACGGATCGGGGAAGGGGAGGGGGGGGGGGGGTCCCCCCCCCCCCTTGGGGAGATCCAGCGGAGCACCCTCCTGGATTCCTTCTCGGAGGGTTCCTCATCCCATGCCCCCACCGTAAGGTGAATTCGACAACTGTGCTGACTGGGGATGGGCGGTCAGGGGAATGATCACAAGCAGGACAGGGCAGGCATGCGAGGATGGGCCAGCATGTGTGTAATGTGGGTCCGTTCGCCCCTGCGTCCATTCACCAGGACAAGACACGGACGAAGATATCTCGGCATACTGCGTGGTGCGCCCTTTTTTCCCGATGTTTACACTGAAGCATCTGACGGCAATGTTCAATATGTGCGTTGTTGTCTTTACGCGACCGCGTAACATGTGGGAGTGGCGATCTCAGAGGAGCAAGGTACCCATACCTCTACCCTTCCCTCGTGTTCCCCTTTTTGGGCCTCCTGGGAGGCCCTCGTCGCCACCGCTGGATTCGCATCGAAATCCCGGTCAGAATTCACCCGGTGAGAAGTCCGGGGAGTAGCGGTATCGGTATTTCTTGGTTTCCTTACGAAGGTCTTGGCGCGAGCGCGTAGCACGTGGAAGCGGCGAGCATCGAAGTCTGCGAGGGAGCATCGGGAGAAAGCAGCAGTCCAGGGGCGTCCAAAGGGAGGGCGGCGACCAAGACACGCAAGGCGTGCAGTCTCGTGGACGGGGGGGGGGAAGGCTGGAGGCAAGGAGGAGCTGGTCTCGAGGCGTGTGGACACGGCTCGCGCTTGCTCTGGCGGGGCCCCCGCCCCTCCCCGCCTCGCGTGCGGGCGTGGGCGCCCGCCCCGGGGGGCAGTGGGAAGGTGCGGGCCTTCTCAGAAAGCTCGAAGGCCCCCTGGCCTCCAGAGACGGGAAAGATTGTGCTCGGAAGGCGCGGGCGCTTCCGAGGAGCTCCGCCGCCGATCGAGAAGGAAGGCCTTCTCCGCCTCACTTCCCCCCTCGCTCGCCGCCAAGAGAGGGAGTGGAAGATACTCCGAGTTTCTTCATAAACGTCGGGGGGGCGTCACCCCCGCCGACAGCCCCACCGCGGCAGACCTTCGCGGGCAGCCACCACGGCGACCGCTGGTTTCGCCGACGGCTGGTTTCGCCCGGCAATGATGATGATGATGATGATGATGATGATGATGATGAGGATGAGGATGAGGATGAGGATGAGGATGAGGATGAGGATGATGATGCTGAGGATGAGGATGAGGATGAAGATGAGGATGAGGATGAGGATGAGGATGAGGATGAGGATGAGCATAAGGATGAGGATGAGGATGAGGATGAGGATGAGGATGAGGATTATTATGATGATGAGGATGAGGATGAGGAAGAGGATGATGATAATGATGATGATGATGATGATGATGATGATGATGATGATGATGATGGTGTTGGTGATGGTGATGGTGATGGTGATGGTGATGATGATGATGATCATGATGATGCTGATGATGATGGTGATGATTCTGATGATGATGGTGGTGATGATGATGATGATGATGGTGACGGTGATGATGATGATGATGATGATGATGATGAGGATGAGGATGAGGATGAGGATGATGATGATGGTGGTGGTGGTGATGATGATGATGATGATGATGATGATGATGATGATGATGATGATGATGATGATGATGATGATGATGATGATGATGATGATGATGATGATGATGTTTCGCACGGCTCGTTTCGCCGCCCGTCGAACCAGCTCTGTCCCTGAAACCAGCTCCGTCGGCGAAACCAGCTGCCCTTGGCGGAACCAGCCGCCGTCGGCGAAACCAGCTGCCGTCGGCGAAGAGGCCCTACCCGATCCGCCCGCTCGGGTCCGCCCGCCCGTCCCGACCCGCCTGTTAGGGTTCGCGCGCGCTCGGTCGACCGCGCCCCACACTTTACTGTCCCGCCCGCCCGACCCGACCCGCCCGTTAGGGTCCGCCCGCCCGACCCGACCCGCCCTTCAGGGTTCGCGCGTGCTCGGTCGACCGTGCCCCACAGTTCAGTGTCCCGCCCGCCCGACCCGACCCGCACATCGGGAACCGTCCGCCCGATCCGACCCGACCCGCCCGCTAGGGTCCGCCCGCCGGGCCCGACCCGCCCGTTAGGGTCCGCCCGCCCGACCCGGGGTGTCAAAAGTTTGCCATCCCAGGGGCCGAAAAAAGGACCCTCTGACACCCCGCTGCCCCTCCCAAAAAACCTCAGGGAGAGAAAGGGGAAAGTCCCCCTTCCCGAAGGGAAGAGGGGTTGTGGAAGAGGAAAGAGGCCCTCTTTCGACCACCTGTCGCCGAAAGGGCTGGTGGGATTTTTCCTCCAACATCCGGCTGTCGGAGGAAATGCCCGACCGAATGCTATCCGCTCGCGAGGCATGGCGTGTCGCTAGGGCTGCCGCCGAGGCACGCTGAGCAAACGCTCCTGGCCGTAGTCACGTGCTGGCATTCAGAGCGGAGGTTGCGGTAACGCTGGGACGAGTCCGGATCGTTCGAGGCGCGTCGGGAGCAAAGTTGTTCTTTCAGTATTCCGAGTTTCTTAATTACCGTCGGGGGGGTGTCACACCCGCTGACAGTCCCACATCGACCCCCGTCGCGGGCAGCCACCGCGCGCACAAGGCGCTCCGACCCCCGTCGCGGCGCGACGACGAGGCGAGGTTGACCCCCGTCGGGGGGGTACCCCCCCACGCTTACTAAGAAACCAGAGTAAGGCTTCGTGGGGAACCTGTCTTCCCCGAGTTGTCTCGAGCCCAATTTTGGTTGCGACGTGCACGATGGACTGCGATGGCACAGCATAGGCTAAACGCTCTGGACTGCAATCGCTTGAGCTGGCCCTGCTGAAGCCGGGCTTCCGCCGGCGGGGTGTAGAGGCAGTCCCTGCACCTCCCTCCCTCCCTCCCTTCCTCCCTCCTCCTCCTCTTCCTCCTCCTCCTCCTTTTTCTCCCTCCTCCTCCCCCTCCTCCTCCTCCTCCTCCTCCTCCTCCTCCCCCTCCTCCTCCTCCTCCTCCTCCTCCTTCCCCTCCTCTTCCAGGAGAGACCAACGCTGGCGCATCCAGATCTTTCGGAGTCGACCAAGCGAAGGCTGTCAGAAAGAGGAAGGCGAATTTGGCGCTGGGAGCCTTCCCGCGGCACCTCCTTCAAGGGCAGAGGCGGCGCGCAAGTCAGCAGGAGGGAGGTGGTAGGGGGGCCGTCGTCGCCGAACGGTGGCATAAGCAAGAGGCTGTGCTCAACACTGGCCACCGATTTCTCCGATAGCAGGAAAAGTTGGCCAGCGTGGACCCCAAACAGAGCTCTCTTGCACTGTATACGGCGCAGTTTGGGTGGTGCAGTCAATGTAATGCATTTTAGGTGATGCAGTCCCTGCGGCGCAAAGGATGCACTGCAAAAGGAATGCAGGGCAACGCAATGCAGCGCAGCGCGATACAGCGGAACGCAAAGCAACGCGACGCAATGCGAAGCAATGCATCGCAGACCAAAGCAGTGCAGCGCCATGCAGAGCAACACAAAGCAATGGCAAGCAACGCAAATTTCTGCACGCCGACGTGAAGCAACGCGGCGCAGGTGGCGGCGACGGACGGCGGCGGCGGGCGGCGACGGGCGGCCACGAGCTGGCCAGGGCGGCACCGGGGCCCGATTACCTTCCGAAGCAGGGTTCGGGGGGGGCCCCCAAACGGTGCGGTGACCACACCGTGCGGTGAGTCGGTGGGGATTCGGGGTCACCGCACGGTTTGGGGACTCGAGTCCCTCTCCGAGGACGTCTCGGGCTACAGGGGCCTCCAGGGTCCCAAGACCGTGCGGTGACGGACCGTGCGGTGAGGTCTTGCGGGATTTCGAGGTCACCGCACGGTCCGTCACCGCACCGTTTCGGGACTCGAAAACAGTAAGAGACTCTGAGTGCAAGCATTGTTTCTGTGAACGGGGGAGGGCGCTCCCAGCCGCCATCTCGTCGTTCTCGAGCAGGCCAGCCCTGACCCCCTTGAGGGCAGCGGTAGGGAGGGGGGATGGGGGGAGGGGAGTGGGGCAGGCGGGTGGGGCGGAGAAGGGTCGACGAAAACAAGCGGAGATGCAAAAGCATACACATTCGGAACCTCACGCGGATCTCTTGGATCAGCGCGAGACGCTACTCCCTGGGCGCAGGGTGTGTGCCAGGGGCGGTGCCAGAGGCGCCGCCAGGGGACCCGTTTGGGTTCAAAAAGGGGCACGCTGTTCTTTGAGGTTCTCCCGTGGCTGTTCCTCTTAACGCCAGCTTTTGATTAACAGATGACACCTCCTCTACCATGGATGATGAAAAGACCCCGCGGGGCGCGAAACTAATTCCCAACCGCATGTGGAGTTGGGTTCTCAGTTTGAAGAGGCAGCGCCCCGTGTTGCTCACTCCTCACTTCTCCTTCCCCTCCTCCTCCCATCCCATCCCTGCCCTCACCCTCCGCATGCCAGTGTTTCGGTATATCCCTCATACGGTTCGTGGACCCATACAGGGAGCTCCACCGAAGGCCCCAGTGGCGGGATCCACATGCGGTTTCCCGCCCATCGCATGCCCATTTCGGACACCCCTCGCACGTTTCCATAAGGAGGTTCCCCTCCTTCGTCCCAACTGCCGTGCGGCATTCACAATTGCATACTGTTGCGTCTCTCGCGAAGCCGATTGTTGAATCACGCGCGCCAGGGGGTCGTCGCGGGCGCTGCCGATGGGATCGTGAACCCGCCCGGAGCCTGAAAGCGATTGCCTTCGGCAGATAAGTTGGAATGGGGATCATGTAAATCGGAGGCGTTTTTTGTTCTAAACCATCCTGTGGATTTGGATTCTCGTTTTGAAGAGACAGCCCCCCGTGTTACTCACTCCTCACTCCTCCTCCCCCTTCTCCTCCTGCCCCCCCCCCGCCTTCCTCCCATGCTTGCCTCGCTCCTCCGCATGCCCATGTCAGCACACTTCTTACACGCTTCGTGGCCCCATAGGGAGCTCCACCGAAGTCCCCAGTGGCAGGGCCCGCTTGCAGTTCAACCCCGCATTTCGGCGCACCCCTTACGTGTTCCGCGGCCCCATAGGGAGCTTCAAATAAGACCATTAGTCTTGGCATGACGACGTTGCCCATGATGCAACAAATTGAGGATGATGAAGACGCTAGGACTGATTATGACCATTCGGATGGATGCGACTATGGCACGCGCTTGTGCATGATATATCTGTCTAATCTCTTCCGATTGCCCCCAGGGCTGCGCTAGAATTTGATCGCACGCGTAACGCGCGCGATGGGTATTACATTTCTTTATATCTCTATAACTGCAGTGGCGCTTCGCGCTGAACACCTTGGTCCTTCAAGTTTCGCACGCGGGCGGCGGGCGTGCGCGTGCACATGCGCGTGCGTATGTGTGCATAGATGTCATGCGCGCACGTGCATGCACGCCATGCATATGTAGCTATAGACATACATGTGTATAGTATATGCAAGCATATATGCATATATATATATGCATACATATATATACATATACATGTATGTATATGTATATATGTATGGGGGCATCTTTATGTACGCACATGCATCTATATACATACTCGCGCATACAAACGCATACATATGTGTCATGCCTAGTTGGGAATTATCTACATGTACACATATGCATGTCTATACACATGTACGTGGTCGTGGCCACAGAGGGGGGAGGCCAGAAACGCAGCGAAGGGTTCGCGAGTGTCGAAAGGCTTGGGCAGGAGACGGCATGGAGGACACGGCAGAATGTGGAACGGCGACCTGGGTTTACCAGAGACCGTGTCTGTGGGACTATGGAAGGAGCCATGTGATGGCCTCAAAACCTTGCGGCAGCGGGTCTCGACGCTGAAGTTGTTTTGCGCCGCCGGACGCTCTTGGGAGGCCTCGCGTTCAGAGTGTTAACGTCACGTGGGCCCTATTGGAGCCTCCCGGAGCCTTCTGAGGGCATCTGTGGGACGTGGTGCAGTTCCGTTATGGTTTGAGCCCGTCTTGGGGCGCGTATTGGCTCTGTTGGGCTGTCTTGGGGTCATGTTCGGGCTCCTTGCCCATTTTGGGCCTGTCTTGGAGGGCCTTTTCAGGGGTTGTCGAACTGCTGTGGGGTCCTTGCAGGTTCTTTTGGGACTCTTGGGGACCTCTTGGGGCTTCCTGATGGCGTCTTGGAGGCCTCTTAGGGCCTCTTTGGGGCCTCTTGGGAACCTCCTGGGGTCTCCCTGTCGGGACTGTCTGGGGGCCTTCTTCGGCTGGTTTGAGGCCCTCGGAGGTCTGCCGGGCCGTCTTAGGGCGATCTTGGGGTCCTCGTGCAGCCGAAAAAGGGGAAACTCACAAATCCCCCACAAACCATTTAGGAACAAAGAAGTTATTTTTGCCTCGTGGGGCCCTCTTGAGAACGATCTTGGAGACCTCTTGGGACGTTTTGGAGTGACCTCGAGATTATTTGGGGTCCTTGCGGGAACTCCTGGGACTCTTGGGAATTTCTTGGGGCTTCTTGGGGGCAATATTGGAGGTCTGTCATCGTAGGACGATCTTGGGGGCCTCGTGGGCCGTCTTGGAGCGTCGGGAAGCCGAAAAGGGGAGATCTCCCAAATCCCCCACAAACCATAGGAAAATCAATGAATTTTGCCTCTTGGGGCTCTCTTGGGAGTGATCTTGGAGGCCTCTTGGGACGTTTTGGAGCGATCTTTGGGGGTATGACGGCTCCTTCGGGGTCGTCGTCGACCGTCTTGGGGCTCTTTGGGGTCGTTTCGGGAGCGCGCTGGAACGTGGGGGGTCCTCTGCGGCCGTCGTCTAGGGGGCTGCCCGAAAGGCCCAGGGTGGGCCAAATTCGTTAGGTGTGTGGGGGGGTGTTTTTTTTCTGGGGTCCCCGGCCCTGTACAAATATATGGACAGGAATGTGCATGCATGTAGATGTGCTGCCCCACATAGATTCTCCTTTCTTTGAAAATTAGACTCTATCCCCCCCCGGCGTTATCCGCCCCCCTGTCGGGTAAGTAAATCATATATGATTCTGGCCACATGTCCATCCTCAGTATGAACTTACACTATCCCAGGGGGGGCGGTATCGGTTCCCCAGAGTTTACTTTGTAACAACAAATACGCGGGGACATTTTTTTCTAACATAAGACTTGTTCACGAATCCCTGGCAAAAAATGGGACGGAGTGCGCACGCGCGCGTCGTCGCGCGCGCATGCCGAAATCCTTTACAAACCTTTGGTGCCGGAAGGATTTCGCAATCGAGTTCCCAAAAAACATACAAAAACACAGGGTTTCGCAACACTGATTTGCTAAACAAGCTTACGCGCGAGTTCTTGCGAAATCTTAGGGAAACCATAGGTTTTTCAAGATTTTCAGAAAATGCTACCAAACGGGCTTCGCGCGCGCGCATGACGAAATCTGTCGAACGCCCTTGCGCGTGTGCCGTCGCGAGAATCCTCTGCACAAAACGGGACGAAGTGCAGACGCGCGCGTCGTCGCGCGCGCGTATGCCGAAATTCTTCAAAACCCATCGGTTTCGGAAGGACTTCAAAATCGTGTGTCAAAAGACACCTACAAAAACACAAGGTTTCGCAACACGGATTTTCAACAAAAGCGTGCGCGCGCGCTCTTGCGTCGTAGTCGTCGTCGTCGTCGCCGTCCTCCCTCCTCCCGCGTCGTCGTCGTCGTCGCCTACGTCGTCCTCTGTCTTTCCTCGTGTTCGTCGTCGTCGTCCTCTTTGGCGTCGTGGTCGTTTCCGTCGTCGTTGTCGCCGTGGTCGTCCTTCCTCCTCCTCCCTCGTCGTCGTCGTCGTCCGTCGTCGGCGTCTCGTCGTCGTCCCTCCTATTTCGTCGTCGTCGTTGTCGTCGTCGTCGTCTTCCCTCCTCCCTCGTCGTTGTCGTCGGCGTCGCCGTCCGTCCTCCTTCTTCGTCGTTCGCGTCGTCGCCGTCCTCCCTCCTCCCTCGTCGTTGTCGTCGTTGTCGTCGTTGTCGCCGTCGTCGTCCTCCCTCCTCCCTCGTCGTCGTCTTTGTTGGCGACGTCGTCGTCTTCGTCGTCGGCGTCGGCGTCGGCGTCGTTGACGTCGTCGTCGTCGTCGTCATCGGTGTCGTCGTTGTCGTCGTCGTCATCGTCGTCTTCGTCGTCGTCGACGTCGGCGTCGTCGTCGTCGCCGCTGTCGTCGTCGTCGTCGTCGTCGGCGTCGTTGACGCCGTCGTCGTCGTCGTCGTCGGTGTCGTCGTTGTCGTCGTCGTCATCGTCATCGTCATCGTCGTTGTCACCGTCGTCGTCGGCGTCGGTGTCGTCGTCGTCGTCGTCGTCGTCGGCGTCGTCGTCGTCGTTGTCGGCGTCGTCGAAGTCGTTGGAGACGTCGTCGGTGTCGTCGTAGTCGTTGTCGGTGGCGGCGTCGTCGTCGTTGTCGCTGTCGTCGTCGGCGTCGCTGTCGTTGCCAAGTGCCATTTGGCACCCACCGTCATGGTCGTAAGAGATTTTGCAAACTAAGTTGCGGGTGGGTGGGTGGGATGTTTGCGCGAGCAGTGGAGAGGACAACTCACTGCGAACAGAAATTAGTTGCACACCATAGATTGCACCGCATAGTTCGCATAACAGGTCTTGTGCCACATATGTTGCACAAGATAGATTGCATATCCTAGATTGGAGCATGTAGGTTGCACCACATAGATAGCTCCATATAGCTCACACCACAGATATTGCTGGACGCACTTTCTGGGGCCCACGATGCTCAATCACAAGCCGACATTCGCGTTCTTCGAGCACCCAGGCGTTTATGGCGCCGACGAAGGGTTTCGTTCAACATGTGAGCGACGCAGAAAACGACGTGTTCGCCGACATTGGCGCATCTGGTGCCCGTGTCAGGTCCCGCGTAAGCGCCCTCGTTGTCAGCGTGGCGCGCCGCGGCGGCGGCCCTCGTTGGCCGCGGCGTGAAGGTAGCTCGCGCAGCACCCGTTTTTCTTGTCGCTCGCTTGGCGTTCCTTACTGCAGCAGCTTGACTGTGCACCGATGTCTGTGTCATGCATTTTGCCCCCCTCGTCGGCGGCGCTGCGCCTCCTCACCCCGGGCAGGTACACTCGCAGCAGCTCCTGCAATTGCGCCTACACGTACGGCGAGGACACTCGCGTGGAGGCCGGAGCAGTTTCTGCTCGGAGGAGGATAGGAGGAGGATCAAAGTCTTCAACCTCAAGCCAGAAGATAGTGATAGTTGATTGTCACAGTGCGCAAGTTTCCAAACGCAGGCTACAGCGCAAGACAGAGGCAGCTGCATCAGCTCGGCGGCGGGATTGACAGCACATGTTTCGCGCAGGTTTGTACATCTAGTTCCACATCGATTGCTGAGTCCTGCTATTGTGAGGGTTGCTTCTAGGTTTAGAAGGACAAGGAATCTTCGGCTGTTACTGAGTCGCTTGACCTCTCGGCCTTCGGGGGCCTTCAGGAACCTGTGTGGAACGTCTGGCACATTGGGGCCTCCGGGGACCTTGAGGGAATTCTAGATTCTCCCTCCACCTCTGCAACGGGATTGAAGCCAGCAGGTCGGTGACGAGCGTTCGGCCCGCCAGCTTGGCATCAGCGAAATCAGCCTTTCTCCACCCGGCCCCCTCATCCCCACTCCGCTGTCCTCGTATTCCCGCTCCCCAGCCAACGGTCGAGAAAATGTCGACGTCCCATTATTGTACCCTCTTCCTGTCGGTTTTCGTGGAGGAGGCTACTCGTTCCACTGTGGATCAGATCTCCAGTTTGACGGTCATCTATCGCATTGCCCTGAGCACTCCAGAGGGTCGTGATGTACGCGTATGACTCTTAACGTCTTGGGGGTAGAGGCTCAGCTCGGGGGGCTCATACCCTACGATTGGCGACGGCACGCACGATGATGTGTGGAAGAGTGAGTCCCACCCTTTCCAGTTCCATCACTCCTCCTTTCCGCGCGCGCGGTGACCGCAATTTGAGTCCGATCTGATAACAACCTCATCCGGATACCGAAACGTTGAAGCGCAGTTGCGCACCGTGCTAGACCAGCGCACCAGACGATAATGCCCCAGCAGAGACGTCATGCCCGTCATGCCCCCAGCCCCAGAGCCGTTTCTTTTATGCGTCCCGGATACCTGATGTTTGTCGCAGGCCCAATCGTAAGTCGCATTGTCTCGTTGCAGGTGTTCGTCGTACCTTCGCTCGAACACACCAGCGGTCGAATCTCGACGAGACTCGGTTTGCACGATCTCGCTCGCAGTCTGCAATTTCGTGCATGAGTCGAAGAACGAAAACGGCATGAACAAATCATCCGTAGTCATTTTGACTCAGGGCATTTGGGCTCAAGCCGCTGGCGTCATTACGGCCCGCGCGATCACGTTCAGAAGCCTCCTGCCCAGCTCGATCGATTCCCGACTGCTCCAGAGGGCCATGGCGCTGCCCATGAAGACCGCGATGAAGACTGGCATGAAGGCCGCGATGAAGACCAGCATGAAGGCCACGATGAAGAAGAAGAGCGTGAGCATTATCGCCAAGGGCGTGCAGGCCAAGAGCCAAGTGTTGAAGGGTGCGAAGGTGAAGACTTCGGGGGGCCTCACGAAGGATAGTCTCATGAAGAACAAGCGCGGCAAGGTCGTGTCGAAGAAGAAGCACGCGGCGGGCAAGAAACTTTTCGCTGCAGTGAAGAAATGGGGCGAGTGCGTCGCCAAGGCGAGGGCTGCACTCGGCCTGAAGGGCTTCGTGGCCGTGAACGGCAAGAAGCCAGAGGGAAAGGCGCTGTATGCCAAGGCCAAGGCTTTGCACGCCCAGGCGTAGTGAGGGATTTCGAGGTCACCCGCCATAGGTTATGAGTAGGATGCGTGGTCGTTCACGGTCTTGCGTTCACGAGCCTATGCTTGTTTTTACGTCATTCGTCTGTACACTACTTGCGGACCACCTCGCGCAACCGTGGATCTACGAAGGCAGGGCAGACCCCCCGCAGAGCTCGAGACGGCAGGGTGCCGCTGCGATCCTCCTTGACAGAAAAACAGCTGAACATAATTTCTTTGAGGTTTGCACGGGTTTCTTGGATCGGCAATTGGCCCCTCTGGCGGCGCCTCCAGCGCCGCCCCTGGCGCGCTCCGCGCCAGGGAGTGGGGTCCAGCGCCGATGCGAGAAACCCGCGCGCACCTCCGAGGCATTATCGCTATGCCGTTGTTTATGTGGCTGCTGGAGTGCGGGAGAAGGGAGCGCAGAAGTTGTGTGTTGGGCATCTGCTGGCAGCCGAGCCAATCCCTTGCCAGATGAGCGACGCAAAAAAAAAAAACAAAAAAAAAAACGGGGTCGTCTGCGCCGACATTGGCGCGTGAGCTGCCCGCGCAAGCTTGCGCGTAAGCGCCCTCGTCTCCAGTGCAGCGGGCCGCGCCCGCGGCCCGCGCAAGCAGCGACGTAACGTCGCCACGTCATCTTGTGTAAGACCCTTGTTTGATCGTCGCTCAGATGTCGTGCCGCCGCTGTTTGGCCTCGTCATCGCTCGGTGGCGCCTTCGTGCGAGCCTAGGCCGAGTCATGAGATGCAGTCGGGCAGCCCTTCGGGGGTGGCAGGAGCCTGTCTTCGTGTTCGGCGCGCGGATACCCATCGGTCGTTGGAAGTAGGTATTCCTGGAGCCCCAGATTCCAATCTACTTTAAGCGCCTTCCTACTTCAATGATCGAGTGGCTTCACCTTTTCCGTCCTCTTTTAGGGGGCGGGCACCCAATCTACTTTTAACGCCTTCTTCTCATGGCGCCGACATCGCAGAGCGGATTTCGTTCGGAAAGCGATAGGATGGGCCCGGAGTGTCCTGGAGAATTTCGTTCCGGATTTCGAGGTAAATTCCGTACGGGTATGTTTTGGCCAGGAACGAAGACTAAAAAAAGATCCACACGAAATTCGCTTTGTTTTTCGCTCGCCCTTTCGGGGTTTTGTATTGACTGAAATCCACGCAAAAATCCGCTGCAGCACGTCTGCAAGGTCGGTGCAGTGATACTTCTTCCGACCGCGAAAAGTTTTATCACGCCCCTTCGCACCCCTTGGGCCGCGCGCGCGTGCCTCTGGCCATGGTCTGCGAGCGCCCACGTTGAATGCCCCCGAGGCTCGTTCGAAGGCCGCCTGTTCGCCTACCTCGCCTCCCTCCTCAACATCCCCCCCTGCTCATCGCCATCCGCGCTGGCTGATCGCCACGGGGGCGCGAGCACCTCTGCTTCCTTGTCACCACCGTCCCCCTCCAGCTGTAGGATTGCTCTCCTCGCTCCCGCCCTTGTCACCACCGTCCCCCTCCTAGCTCTCCTTGCTCCCGCACAGCAGTTTCCATTCCAGCCTCTGCGACATCGACCCTCCGCAGCACGCCGCATCGGGGGCAGCCGGGGCATCCGGGGGCTCCGGCGCTGCCCAGCGAGACATGCGGGCGGCGGGGCCGGAGCCCGGGCGCGTCGGGCGAGCGGTCGGCTACGGCTCCGGGGATCAGTGGCAGCAGGTGCCTGCGCCGCGCATGGAGGTCCGGGAGGCGAGCGCTGGGCCAGAGGAGGAAGCCCAGACCCCCTCGGGCAATGAAAAAATCAAGACGGGAGGTTTTTACATATTTGAAGCCTCTGGAGGGCCTCGGGACCGTCAAAAATCTGTTCAGGATGAAAAATCGGTCCAGGGGAATGGGTCGAGAGACCTCTGAGGGTCGACGTTATGAAAAAATCATGACGTCGGGGATCTGGAAGAGGTACCCATACCGCTGCCCTTCCTTCGTTTTCCCTTTTCTGGGCCTCCTGGGAGGCCCTCGTCGCCACCGCTGGATTCGCGCCACGAAATCCTGGTCAGAGCGCACCCCAGGAGAGGTCCCGGGAGTAGCGGTATCGGTAGTTTTTGGTTTCCCCATTGGGTTCTCTTTTTCCTTTTCAAAGGCTCCTTCTCTATAAGACCGTTGGCCCACAACTACAATACCTAGAACTCGGAGTGGTCTCCTGCGGTCATACTTTTCCTCGCGGGCTCTCACGCACGCCTAACGGCCGCATACGCCCGCCTCATACACGCAAACCGAATCCGGCGTCCTCGAGTTCTAAGAAGGAAAAAGGGAGCCCAAGGCGAACGTGAGACGTCGAGTAGACGGCGGACGTAACATCGTCAGATACACGGATGAAATTAGGAAGTACGGCAAGGCTGGTCAATGGCAGCAGGCGCTGTCATCGTTCGGGAAGATATGCGACGAGAAGTTGGAACCGGACGTCTTCAGTTACAACGTCGTGATGAGCGCGCTTGGGACAGGGCAGCAATGGCTGCGGGCAGTGTCCCTGCTTCGCGAAATGAGGGACACGAAGTTGGAGCCTGACGTCATCTCGACAGTTGTTTTGCGTAGTTTTACGTAAGGGGTGCGAGAAAGACCCAGCACCCTGAGAAGCATTTGGGAACGCGCCGTGGCAGCGTCTTGCCCCCCCCTCCCGCCCCCCACCAATCCCGCATCCTCAGTCTGCCCTCCCCCCGCCCGTTTCCTCCCTCCACCCCGGGGATCTAGTACACGAGCTCGTCTTAGTGATTCAATCAGCTACAATTCAGGAATTAGCGCATGCGAGAAAGGCAAGCAGTGGCAACAGGCGCTGTCGCTGCTCCGCGAGTCGATGTCGGCGAAGCTGGAGCCAGACACCCTCAGTTACAATAGTGGAATCAGCGCGTGCGAAAAATGTACGGAGTGGGAGCACGCGTTGTGGCTACTCGGCGAAGCGTTGGAGGCGAAGTTGGAGCTAACCATCATCAGCTACAACGCTGGAGTTAGCGCTTGTGGAAGAAGTGGGCAGTGGCAGCGAGGTTTGTCGTTGCTGTGTGAGCTCCGCGCAGCGATGCTGAAGGCGGACGTCATCCAGGTGCCTGCGGCAAGTCCCGGCGCCATGCCAGCTCAGCGTTCGGCTGCGAAGGTCCGAGGACCAAAGGCCGAGACGTGTGACACCTCCTGCGTGCTGTTCTCGACAGGCTGTCGTGGAGCTTGTGCAGGCACTCTTGGTGTTCTCTTTGACGGTCGTGAGGCAGTCTTGGAGCCCTTTTGGCCGTCACGGGGGTCTCTTGGCCGTCTGGGGGGTGTCTTAGGGGCCGCAGTGGGGGCGTATGGGGGCCATCTTGGGCTGACGTGAGGCCGCCTTGGCCTATCTCGGGTTCCTCATGGAGCTGTCTTGGGCCAGTTCAAGTGTTCGTGGGGTCATCTGAGGGCACTCTTGGGTCTCTTCGAAGACCACAGGTGGCTGGAACTTGAGCCGACGTGCGTGGAAAGCTAAGAATATGTGAAAAGCACTTGAAAAATACGTGCCATTTTTCGAGGGCTTCCTCGAGAGCGTCTTGGGGGTGTCTGGCAGCTGCGTGGAGGCCTCTTGGGACACACGCGGCGTTTCTTGGGAGTTGTTGGGTGGCTGTTGAGGCAGTGTTCGGCAATCTTGGCGGTCCTGGTGGCCTTCTGGCCTCCGTAGAAGCCTCAGACAGTCTTGGAGAGCGCCAGTGAGGCTGCAGGCTGTCCAGGCTTCTGGCTCAGGGGGTCCGGTGCATGGGCTGGACACGATGAGAGGGGGAGGCCCTTTTCAGATTACTGAAACCTTACTGGACACCTTTTGTCTGGACGCCCGAAATGGGTACTGAAAGAATGGGTACTATGCTCAACAACAGTTCCTGTTCATTCTGAACAGGGCTCGCTGTCCACGCCGCCGCGGCCTGTGTCCATTCAAGACAGGAGGCCGCCCGCCCAACAGCGGCCGCTGTTGGTTTGGGACAACATTTGCTGTTGGGCATGTTGCCCATTCTTTCGGTACCCATTTCGGGTGTCCAAATTTTGGCATTCTACCAGTCTCAACATGCCAGGGAACACGGTGGCGGATCACTTACAGTTCGTTGCTCAGCGCATTTGGAGACGGCGGACAGTGGCAGCAGGCGTTGTCATTGTTGTGCAGCTTGAGGGGGGCCACGGTGACGCCCAACGTAATAAGCTACTCCGCTGCAGTAAGCGCTTGCGCGAAGGTCGGAGAATGGCAGCAGGCGCTATTGTTGCTTAGCTTGATGAATGGGGCGAAGTTGGCGCCTAACATTATAAGCTACAGCGCCGGAATCAGCGCTTGCGAGAAAGGAAGGCAGTGGCAGATGGCGTTGTCGTTGTCCAGCCGTCTGCACGAGCAAGGGTTGGCCCATAACGCATTCAGCTACAGTTCTGCAATCTCGGCTTGTAAGAGAAGTGGAAAATGGGAATGGGCATTGCGGTTGTTCGGCGAGTTCTGGCATCAGAAGCTCGAACCAGACACGTACATCTATTGCACTGGAATCAGCACGTACGGGGAAGGGGTGCAATGGCAGCAGGCGTTGTCTTTGTTTCGCGATTTTACACAGACATCGCTTGGCATGGACGCCTCCTGCCTTACTGAGGCCATCAGCGCCTGCGGGAAGTGCGGGCGATGGCAGCAGGCCCTGTCGTTGCTGAGCGACGCTTGGGAGGCGAAGGTTGACCTGGACACTATCCATCTGTCCGCCGGGCTCAGCGCGTGTGGAGAAGGGGGTGAGTGGCAGCGTGCGCTCTCGTTGATCGGCCAATTCAGGGTGGCGGGACTGAAGCTGGACGTCGGTGGCTTCAACGCCTTGATCGCCGCGTGTGCGGCGTGCGGACGGTGGCAGCAGGCGCTGTCCTTGTTCGACGAGATGCGATGCTCGAAGTTGATGCCGGATGCCTGGAGTTACTGTGCCGGAATCGACGCGTGCGCGGAAGATGGTCAATGGCAGCAGGTTCTGTCGATGTTTAGTGAGTTCGAGGTTTCGAAGTTGGAGCCGAGCATCATCGCGTTCAACGCTGGGATCAGCGTGTGTGCGAAGGGAAGGCAGTGGCAGCAGGCGTTGTTGCTGCTCGGGCGGGCGAGGGAGGAGAGGTTGGAGCCGAATGCGATCGATGTGGCACATGCAAGCCTAAGTGCAACCTCCTCCTCCTCCTCCTCCTCCTCCTCCTCCTCCTCCTCCTCCTCTCCACACCACCCCAAGGCGACCCCGAGGTTGGCCCAAGAGACTCCAGGCTTAACTCCCCTGATACGGCAGTGTCGAAACGCAACACGTCCCGTGGTGGCTCGGCACGTGTTGGTCCACGTGTTGGCGAAAGTGTGGCACCAGACCTGCTTTGTCAATCTCCGTGTTGAGATCCACGTCAGCACGCTACGGGTTGCGTCTTGCGCATCGGGGCGGTCGAGCCCAGGACGGCTCTGGGGCGGTCTCGAGACTTCCCCATGGTCCACCCAAGCGTGCTCGAAAGAAACAGCCAGGTGCTTGCGGCGAATCCCGCCGCAGTGCCAGCCCAGCATTCTGTGTGGCGACTGTTCGAGCGGACGCGGGAGGCCGTCACGTGTGACATATCGTATCTCCAGGTTTGGGAGAGCCGTGATGGCGATGATGATGGTGGTGATGATGATGATGATGATGATGGTGGTGAAAGTGATGGTATCTGTGATGGCGAGGATGATGATGATGTTGATCTGATGATGATGCTGATGATGATGCTGATACTGTTGATGATGACACTGATGCTGATGCTGATGCTAATGACGAGTCTGATGATGATGATGATGATGATGATGATGATGATGATGATGATGATGGTGATGGTGATGGTGGTGATGACGATGATGTTGGTGATGATGGTGATGATGACGATACGTTTTTCGCAACTGCGTATATGCCGCAGTCCGTCGACTCCGTCTGACCACGTTTCGCCGATGAAAGATGTTGCTACTGCTGTCGACGGTGCTCCACATTTCGGCAGTGTCGCAGCATGTCAGGAAGCGATGGTGCGCGTCATCTTCTGGACCCCGCACTGCGCACCACCGCTCCGGAGACATGTGTACGCCAGCGGGCGGGGCCGACGTGAGCGCCTAGAAGATGATGATTATGATGATGATGATGATGATGATGATGATGATGACGATGATGATGATGACGATGATGACGATGATGACGATGATGACGATGATGATGAGAATTTCGATGGCGATGACGATGATGGTGGCGACTCTGATGGTGGTGATGCTGCTGATTGATGCTGGTGATGCTGCTGGCGGTGATGGTGATGGTGACGGATCTGATGATGACGATGATGATGGTGATGGTTATGTTGAGGATGATATGGGTGATACGTATGGTGATGTTGATCATGATGACGATCATCATGAACATGATGGTGATGGTGGTGATGGCCATGCTTGTGATGATGAGGATGATGTTGATGTGATGACCATATTGATTGCGGTGGTGATGGTGGTGGTGATGGTGATGATGATCATGGTGGTAATGATGACGAACGCGGTTGGTATCGTGATGTTGATGATGGTGATGGTGGTGGTGATGGTGATGTTCTTGGTGAGGTCATGCTGACGTTGGTGATGATGACGATGATGATGACGATGCTGATTATAGTGATGGTGATGGTGGTTGCGGTGGTGAATAAAGGAAAACGGTGACGATGATGTTGGTGATGACGACGATCACGACCAGAAGAAGGAGGAAGAGGAGGACGAGGAAGGCCGTCACGTTTGGCGGATTTCTTCTTCATTGTTTGCGGAACTCTCATGGAGTTCGTTTGGGCTGTTTTGGCCTTCAGTGAGGAAGTCTTGGGGGTCACTTGGGGCCCTCTTGGGCCGTCTTAAGGCCCTCTTGGCCGCATGTTGGGTGGCGGCGGGCCGTCGTGGAGTCGTCTTGGCGCCGTTTCGGGCAGTCGAAGGGCCTTCTAAGACAGTCTTGGGTCCCTCGGGAGGCCTGCTTGGGCAGTCTGGGGGCCGTCTTGGATGCCTCTTGGGACTTCGTAGGGCCCTCTTGGGCCATCCTTGGCCCCGCGTGGAGGCCTCTTGGGCCGTCGTGGGGCCATCGTGGAGGCTTCTTGGGCCGTCTCGAGCTGTCGTTTTCTGATTCGCCGTTTTGCCGATCGGCGCGGCCTCCAGTCGCACCAAGCACAGGTCCGGAGCCAGACCCCCCCCTCCCCCCCCTCCGCCGAATGTCGAACAGCCGAATATGAGAACGCTCGCAAGTAGGAAAGGGTGAGGGGGACAGCCAATATCTCACACGCCTTGACACGCCCGGCAAGCGGGGGCCGGCGAATTCTAGTGAGCGGAGCTCTTGCGGGGGTCGATCCGTGTGAGGTGGTTGCCCGCCTAGGCGGGCTCCGCTCAAGCGGGCTGCCCATAACGTTAAGGTGTTTTATTGTGGTGGGTAATTGTGCTGCCAGCCCACCAGGATAACTAGATAGGGCTGGTCCGCACAGACCCATGAACTGGGGATGATACCCATTTGACTTCGGCAAAACGTGTGCCGCCATGTTCGCTAAGCCAGCCACGGGCGATAGGTTGCTCGTGTTCTCTCAGGGAGTTCAGCCCTGCGGCGCTCCCAGGTGTGCGTCTTCGTGGGTGGTTGCGACGGTCGGCCGATCCAGGGGTGAGAAGCTGTGTGTTTGGGCATGGGCCACTGGGATGAAGGAGGAGGGAGGCGGAGGAGGGAGGAGGAAGCGTGGTGGCAGGAGGGGATACGCGCAGCAGCTGCAGCAGGATGGGAAAGTCAAGGCGGGAGCCACGGCACCTGTCGCAGCAGGCCTGACCGCCCAAGGGTAATACCAGACCCCGCGCAAAAGCAATCGGCGACTACAAAGGGTGTGCTTGCGCCGGGGTGTGGTCTGCGATCGGCGCCGTTGGGGCCTGTGCGGCGCGACACTGTCCTCGTCGGGCCTCCTCGGGCGGCGGAGAGATCTGTCGATGTCCCCTCCCGCCCCCCGGGGTGCTCCCCAGGGTGCCGGTTGCAAACCGCACCTTTTGCAAACCATATTCTTCGGAGTCGCCGAAGCAAAAGCAAGCCAGGCCACCCATCAAAGCAGTCCAGGCCACCCAGAAGTAGACCGTACCCCGCCCAAAAGTCAGCCAGACCACCCGTCACAGCAGGCCAGACCACCCACAAGTCAGACCAGACCACGCCCAGAAGCGAGCCAGATCAACCAGAAGTGGACCAGCTCCCGTCCAGAAGTAAACCAGACCACCCGTCAAAGCAATCCAGACCGCCCAACAGTAGATCAGACCCGCCCAAAGCAAGCCAGATCACCCATCACTACAGGCCAGACCACCCAAAAGTAGGCCAGACCCCGCCCAAGGGTGAACCAGATGTTCCACTGAAGCAGGCCGGACCACCCAAAAGTAGACAAAACCCCGCCCAGCCGCGAGCCAGACCACCCGTCGCAGCAGGCCTGACCACCCAAACGTAGACCAGACCCCACCCAAAAAGTAAACCAGACGACCCTGCAAAGCACTCCAGACCACCCCAAAGTAGATCAGACCCCTCCCAAAGGTAAACCAGACCACCGGCGCAAGCAAGCCAGACCACCCAGAAGTACACCTGACCCCGTCCAAAAGTAAACCAGACCACCAATCAAAGCACGTCAGGTCATCCAAACGTAGACCAGGGCCCAACAGTAAACCGGCAACGGAGACCACCCAAAAGTAAACCAGATCCTTGTGGTACATGATTGCGGTGTTGAGGATGATGGCGACGATCTCAACGATCGCGATGTGGGTGGCGACGGCGATGATGATGGTAGCGGGGTGGCTATACGAATGATGATGATGCTGGGGAGGGTGAGGATGAGAAGGAGGAGGATGAGGAGAAGGAAGAGGAGGAGAAGGAGGAGGAGGAGGAGGAAGAGGAGCAAGAGGAATAAGAGGAGTAATAGGAGTAAGAGGAGAAGGAGAAGGAGGAGGAGAAGGAGGAGGAGGAGGAGGAGGAGGATGAAGGGGAGGAGGAGCAGGAAGAGGAGACGCACCAGGCAGACGGGAACAGGAGGAGGAGGCGGCGGAGGAGGAACATGAGGAGGCATGGGTGAACGAGGTGAACGAGGATGAGCATGATGATGGCGAATGTGGATATCGCCATTAGAGCTGGAAGAAAGCCAGGCCGCTTCTGGAACCAAGGGAATTAGCCAGTCGAAGGACCCAACCATCTGCAGCTGTGAGTGCCACAGTCGAGACTATCATGTTCGATGAAGCTCCCTGTGGGGCCACGATCCTCGTGAGGGGTGCGCCGAACTGGGGCGGGGCCGGCATGCAAATTTTCCCACTGGGGCCTTCGGTGGAGCTCCCTATGGGGCCACGATCCTCGTGAGGGGTGCGCCGAAGGGTGCGCCGAACTGGGGCCATGGGGCCACGCAAAATGCGAACTTTCCCACTGGGGCCTTCGGTGGAGCTCCCTATGGGGCCACGATCCTCGTGAGGGGTGCGCCGAACTGGGGCGGGGCCGCCATGCGAACTTTCCCACTGGGGCCTTCGGTGGAGCTCCCTATGGGGCCACGATCCTCGTGAGGGGTGCGCCGAACTGGGGCGGGGCCGCCATGCGAACTTTCCCACTGGGGCCTTCGGTGGAGCTCCCTATGGGGCCACGATCCTCGTGAGGGGTGCGCCGAACTGGGGCGGGGCCGCCATGCGAACTTTCCCACTGGAGCCTTCTGTGGAGCTTCCTATGGGGCCACGATCCTCGTGAGGGGTGCGCCGAACTGGGGCGGGGCCGCCATGCGAACTTTCCCACTGGAGCCTTCTGTGGCTCCCTATGGGGCCACGAAAAGTGTGAGGGGTGTGCCGAAATGGAGCGGGGCCGTCATGCGAACCTTCCCATTGGAGCCTTAGGCGGAGCTCCCTATGGGGCCACGAAACGTGTGAGGGGTGTTCCGAAATGGGGCGGGACCGCCATGCGAACTTTCCCATTGGGGCCTTAGATGTAGCTCCCTGTGGGGCCACGAAGCGTGTGAGGGGTGTGCCGAAATGGGGATGTGAAAGAGGTTCGCGGGCGGATCGAGGGACTCTAGGGGCCCGGGGGCGCGCGGGGCGACAAGCGGGAGGCCCCCTTCCTCCCGGATGTTTTGCGCGCTTGAGCCACAACGG